ATCCCCTTAGTGGCGCGACATGTGTGTCATAAAACGCCCAGGCGCCTCAGGGCGCGCTAGCCTAGTAGTAGTAGTAGTAGTAGTAGTAGAAGTAGTAGTAGTAGTAGCAGCAGCAGCAGCAGTAGTAGTACTCGTCGTCGTCGTCGTCGTCGTCATAGTAGTGGCAGTAGCAGGCAGTAGCAGTACCAGTAGCGGCAGCAGTAGGAGTAGCACTAGCCGTAGGAGTAGCACTAGCAGTAGGAGCAGCAGTCAGCAGCACAGCAGCAGCAAGTAGAAGTAGCAGTAGCAGTAGCAGTTTCAGTAGCGGTAGCAGTAGCAGTAGCAGTAGCCGCAGCAGCAGCAGGAGTAGTAGCAGCAGCAGGAGTAGTAGCGGCAGTAGTAGTAGTAGTAGTAGTAGTACTACTACTACTACTACTACTACTACTACTACTACTTACTACTACTAGTACTACTAGTAGTTGGGGGTCGGAGTAGTAGCGGTAGCAGTTTCAGTAGCAGCAGGACGAGGGCGAGGACGAGGAGGAGTTGTAGTAGCAGTCGTGGTTGTGTGCGCGTGTATCGGATGTCGAACCAAGGAGATCCAAAATCGAAATATTGTAAAGGATACAAGTGTTGACACTGAAAGCAGGTCTCGGTCCGCCGCAGCGGTCGCAAGGTCGCTCCGGTAGACCTCGCAGCCCCGCGCAAGGACGAGGCGCTCGACATAGAAAACATCTTGCAGTTTGCAGCTTCTGTTGGTCTTCCTGTTTGCCCTTGTATAGGCGAATCGCTTGTTTGGGGCGGGCCGATACAGAGAGGCACGTGCTTCAGGGTGTTTTCTTGCGGAGATCGACATGCAAGTCCGAGGCCATCGCTGCTTACACTGCTGCCATCGACTGCCTGGACAAATACCAGCCTGCGGAGGAAAGGGTGCAGCTATGAAGATTCCGGAAATCTGGCAGGATTCGAACACGCAACATGGCGAATGGTGAGCATTATTTCGCTCAGAAATCTACGTGCATGTCTCCCTGGCTTCAGTTCCAGCGTGGATGACTCCGAGAAGATGTGGGAGAGACGTCCCGTCAATCTAGCATGCTTGTTAGCAAGCTGACAATCTGGTGAGACGTCCCCGAGAGATCATCACCCAGACTTGAAGGGTCCTCAATAGCCGTATGCACGTCCTTTGCATGATTGACCAAAATTCTACGCATCGCCTGCAGGCAGGCTCCAACCTCGGCAGATGGCTTAGGAACGTTCGGGCACGGGCCGGTCTCGGGCAAGACATCCTGACCGGCTCCAAGGTGACAGGATTCATGAAGACGGTGCTGGCGAGAAGGAGGCGATTGCTCTGAAGGCACGGAGCTGGCTGCTTGACGCTTGTCGGGTCGAGGTGTCCGTCGGGTTGGATGTCGTTTGTCCGTCGGCGACGAAGCGATCTCTCAGGTTGCCCTGCTGGCGAATCGGGCGCTGGCATGCCTAAAGTTGGAGGACTCTATGGCAGATCAGTTGGGCACTGCAGTCTCCAGTTCCCTTTCTGCTCTCCGCTCTCAAGTTGTCCGCTGCTTCAGCCTTGGCTCTGCTTACCTTTGAGATAGAGTCATTCCCGCGCGGCCACATAGATTCAGGCCCATGACACTCGTACGGAATCATCCACGGCATGACGGCGATGCAGCACCGTTTATGGAGCAGTCAAGTTGAATCTGTATTTGCTGATCATGCACTTCCTCAAGCCCATGGCGAATGGGTCGAATCGGCCAGCAGCGAACCTACTGCGTGCATGCTGATCCGGACCGGGATTGGTGAGAATCCTCTTGCTTTGCCAGTTGCGCCTTCGCCTTCCTTCATTGACTGCGTGTTCGACCTTGTGCCTGAGATGCATTCAGTCAAAGGCCTTGCATTGACTTGCACCGCCAGCGGGAACTGAGGCAGATGTTGGTCTGAAGCTTGAGTTGACTCTTGCACGCCAGCTATCCAACCTCCTCGGATGTTGAGGTTGCCTTCTTGCCGACACTGCTGATCGCGGAGGCAAGGCGGAGGGCCGGGGCTGAAAAGTTCCTGAAGGCAGGGCTCTTGCTGACGAGAACAGCTGAGGCACGAGACATTTTCTGCACGCCAGAAAACTTGGGCTCTACACTCAGCATGTAGCGACAGTGAGCAATTGGTCCATCCCTCTGCTGATTGGCAGGTCGTTTCAATGGCTTTCCACAGCAGCTGGACGCCGGCATTTACTGGTCTGGCACCGATGCGCAGCATGAAGTCAGAATTGGCATGGCATCTTTTCTTGTGGAAGGTTTGGCCCCGATGACCAATCGGAGAAGGACGCCCAATGGTAATTTTCCAGTCCGTTCGTAAGAACTGATTATTGCATAGACTCGCAGAGCTTTTTTTTAATTGAGTGTAATCGCACTTTCATGGACAACGGTTGCGAACTGTTGTGAGATAGCTCCGTGCAGCGTGATGCAGCAGGCCACCGGATACCCATCAAAGTGCTTTCCTCGGTGATGTGCATGTAGCATTGCTGGGAGTGCATCTTTTTTGCAGAGCTTCTCAGACTAGGTTCTATGATCCGAGCAAGCCCACAATGTTGTACTTCCATGGATGGACGGGTGAAGGCATGCCAGGGATACTCTTTTCAGCGGGTTGTCGGCCCTGCCGTAGACTTCGCAACAGGTCAGGGTTGGACAAGCCGATGCAAGCGTCTCACAACGAGATGACAGGGCCTTACTGTCTGTCTTTCAGCGGTTTTGAGCCTGCAATGATCAGAAATGGGTAGAAGTTGTTGAGGTCATCCCGACATTTGTCCAAATGGAGGAGGTCAACCCTTGGTGAACTCCTGGCTTGATGAAGGCGCTGCTCCGGGAACACAGTTGGCGGGAGTTCAACGCCCTCCGGTTCTTTCCCACGCAGGGAGAGTTCACGGCACTGCGAGCAGATGTAAGCCATAGGATGTGCCTTGATGCGCGGGAGTTTCAATCTCCCCAATAGATCCCAATAGGACCAGCCACAGGATGATAATGTAATGATGTTGATGATGATTATGATGATGATGCTTATGACGATGATGATGATGGAGATGGTGGTGGTGGTGGTGGTGGTGATGATGATGATCATAATGGCGGCGACGGTGATTATGGTTACGTCATGTTTCCTGAACGAATTAGGGTGTATGTATGCATAGGGAGTGCCAGGTGAGTAGTACGAAGTGATGATGGTCGACTTATCGACGGGTGATGCGTCCTAATCCCATGATGGTGATACTTGTCTGAACGTGCTGGGCAGAGCCGGCAGCGCATGCTACAAGCGCGATCTTCGTGACAGTCCTCACCATGACCTCACCCGGGAACACTTTCAGCTGAGCTGCACAGCCCCATGTGGGTGACATTCGCCATCCTGGGACCCTCGGATCGCGAAAAGGACAACCCTTTCAACAGGAATGCCAGGTCAGAGACGCAACACGCACCCACCTGCATGCACACTCGTCGTTGAAGGTCCCTCGGATTGTAACGATGATGCCAGTTCAATTCTGGCCAGCCGTGCAGCCATCCTGCCCCAGCAAACGACGATGAGGACGATCCGCTCTCCCAAGTCCTTAAACTGGCCGACATAACCTGCCTGACTGCTTGAACACATCATTACAAGTATTTCATTAGTGCCTGCAGCTCCCTGCATTTGTACAACGGCAGGCCTTGGCAAGCCTGGAGGATTAAGGACATCAACCAGTCAGTATCTTCATGGATTGACTGTGCCCAAACACAAATCCCCTTGTCGAGACCCGGAAGTCGTCTCATTGCGCCTCGAGGGTCGAACGGGGTCCGGTCTCTCGCCGTGTGCATCTTCGAAGAGAGCACTAGAGCGGATAGAAGGGTTCTCTGCTGACCTTGGAGGTTGGAATGTCGGTTTCTTTTACTGGGACCAGTTCGCTGATGAGGCCAAGAAGCGTTTGAAGACATTGGAGGCATGCATCGGGTCCCACAGTCTGCTGAGGCATGCGTGCGAGATGCCGAGCAGAAGCTGTGGCCTGGGGCTGACGGGGCTGAAGGGGGGCAGTCAAAGACTTTTTCCTGGTAAGTAAACCAATCATCTATGTTCTCTGCTGGAACATGCCTACATGTGACTTAACCTGTGCAGAGGTTCGACAAGCGAGGAGATGGATTCCGTTGGAAAGCATACAATCTTTCATCAGGTTCGAACTAAAGCTCCGATAAGAGCATGAGTGTTTTTGACGACCACTGCCAGGTGTGGCCTATTACCAAAACTACAACGAGGCCAGAGATCGGTGGCTGAGATTTCGGACGCAGAAGGTCGACTGGATTCAGCCCGGATGCAGGCATTGGATGAACTATCTGTGGCAGACATGTGTGTCACGGGCTCAGCCGTTGACTTCCGGCAATTGCAGACACATGTAGGCCCTGTAGGCATGAGAGCAACGCAGTTCGGCAGGCCTTGAACGTCAAGAAAGCAATGGGCTCCTTTGGTGGTTCGCAAGTGTTCTGCTCTGAGTTTGCTAGGGTGCTTCACATAGGCGAAGAGAGCAAGATCACCTGTCTCTCGAAAAAAAGAGACGAACTCAGATCCAAGGCGATTTGTGGGCCACTCCTTGGGAGCACAGTTGGCTGTTCGATGCGCTTCGATGCTGCATGTCGAGGCCTGCTTAGAGCCTTTTTGCACGGGCTGTTGGCATCCAAACCCGCAGATGCAGTGTGGAATCATGCACAATCTTTCAAACCATCGTCGGCCAACACTGCCAGGTCGCCAAGGAAGCAACTAATGAGCAACCGGTAGAGCCACGGGGGGCCGTGGGTTTCGCATCCTGGAGAACAGAATGAACGGAACTTCTCTCGACCGCCAAGGAACATGTACGTCAGCTTGTCGAACATCACATGATGTATCGTTGCAGGACCATCCCGCAGCTCCCGGAAGGTTGTCGTTGCTTTTAACTCAGCATCACGTCATTTGGTCATTTGCGCAAGCCTGCGCTGCCTGGCGTCCTGAGGCTGGAGCCGTACTTCAGCAAGCACAGCGGCAATCTCAAGCGTGTGCAGTGTCAATGTCTTGCATGTCCGATGCTCCCCATGCTCCAGAGGATACCAGAGTGTGTTGCTGACCCACGCTTGATTTCTGGGGTGCGCTTCGACACGGTCGTGCGATCGGAACGGAAAACCGCAGTGAATCTTCCAACTTTGTGTGCACGTTTCGGTGCATTGGTGGTGTCTGAACTCTCTGTCCCGGTGTCGCCACGTGCGCTTCATGGAGATTGGTTCCCGAAGCCTCGAGACTTCTGAGGGCTCAGGATGTTGCAATTCGATTTGAGTAAGCTGGTGCAGCCGTTAGCCTTGCGCCTGTTCTGAGCCTTCATACGAAATGATGTGGTACTGTAGTCATACCTGCGAGATTGCAATGTGTGCCCGAAGCTGTCATTTGTGGAATTGATGTTGCACGATGTTTCTACCGGTCCGGCTTTCCTAAGCATGGGGAAGTGGAGTTCATAATTAGTAGCGCATCACCACACATTCATTCCAGAACCCTTTTGCTGAAGCTGCTTGAACCGGATCAACTCACTCTCCCATGCCCTGGCACGCACTTCTGCTTTGAACTTTACTTCCAAAGTGTTCCAGCATCCGGGAAGCAGTGATGCAAACGCATGCCATCCAAATTTCCAAAGCTCTCGTGTGCCCGTCTGTTGGAGCAGCTTGCCGGCACGAGCACATCTCTTGATTCTTCAGGTCATTTGTTTTTTGGCTGCCACGGCGAAGTGACGACCCACGAGGGAATGGGTACGCTGCTCGCCAGTGGGTCCGTGCGATATTCAATCAATTGCTCCGCACGGTCGCATGCGCCAGGTGATTTTGCCGAACGGCTAACGGTTGAATATGTTCAGAACATGTGGAAACGCCTGGGCCCCGAATGCGTCCTCCGGCATTGCTATGTCTCGAATCGCAGCTCTGCTGCAGGAAAAAAGGTCGTCACCGATGTGTACAAGAGCTCGTTATTGACAGAGGCATCCGGCACAGCTTGCAGACTCGTAGACAAGATGTCATGCCTGCAGCCATGCCAGAAAGCTCCGGAAGACTCCCCCTACACCGAGCTGAAGAACATAGCGACCATCTGAGATGTTTCCTTTACTTGCAGAGCTGAGAGTGCTGCAGCAACCGGTCCCCCTCAGAAGCCTTCTGTACCAAACTGGCGTCGCATGAGTAAGTCTTTAGGCTGAGGTCACGGAGCGGAGTCGGCTTTCGTACCCCAAACGCGCATGTGCTGTTGTGTGGCTTGCACCGACCATCCAATCAATGTGTTGGGTTTGAAGGGAAGCGACAGCCTTGGCGTCAGATGTCTTTGTTCGACTTTGCAATCCTGGGTTTGCTACGTGCATGAAATCAGAAGCTGTCCTGAACGCTCTGGCAGGCTCAGAAACTTTCAGTTGCGAAGGTTCGGGGCTCCGGGCGCTTTATGCCCCGTGCCACAGCAAGAAATGCAAGAGCCTGGGAACTCGTCACTATGGTGTTTGCGATGAAGCCGCACATCATCCGCACATCTCTTTCGCGAGCTGGGCAACACTCCGTCGGTCGCAAGGAAGGCCCTCAACCCAGGCACAAAACACGACACGTAAATTTCTATCCGCCTTGACTCGATCCATGCTTCCTTTGCTGCCGCGACTAGATGACTAGATAATTGGGTTCTATCATGCATATCCACACCCACCCAGAGATGCGGGGACACACTCGTGCAATCCTCCCTCTGACATACTGCTCTTGCTAGAGGTGAGATCTTCAGCCACTCGGGCAGTTGACAAAGATTCAATGGTGTGCACAGTGCCTGTCACAACCATGTCGAATCAGTTGGGTAAGGCTGAATCCAGCCTGTCAGCCAACGCAACGGGCCCTGGAACGACTGGCATATGGACTGCTGCAAGTCGTCATGGTGCAAGACCACGCAAGACGTCAGCAGAGGGGCCACATAATCTTTGCAGTTACATGATTGGACATGGTTGTAAGTAGAGGCCATGTCCGCCCGTTTCGGCAAAGCAAAAGTAGGGCCCTTGGCACATGCACATGAACATGCATTCAAGCAGGATGCAGAAAGAGCACAACTACATCTGCTTACAACTCGCAAACCTCAAAATTTCACACTTGGCTATTTTGCTTTCCGAAGTCGGAAGCAAAGCAGACAGGAAGTATCCCGCTCTTGGAAGAAGAACATTTCTGTAAGAGCAAGCATGTGGTGGCGTTCGGTTCTTTGGCTTTAGCCGTTTCAAGCCGCTGATGGCTGAAGTGTAACTTTTTTGGAATGCTTCGGGAGCATGTTCACGGCGAGGGTTCATCTGGTACTTCCGATCTGCCAGTCTGCAGCTGCTAAGTAAAGAAAGAATTGTCTGCTTAGGTCGAGAATGGAGCTGTTGGTGGCTTCGAACACACTTTGGTAGGCCGGGATGCCACGTCAGGCCCCGTCAGGCCCCGTACGCCCAGTATGTATTCTCATCGCAGGCAACCTGGGAGCTGGCCTCGTTGGAGAAGATCTCGAGAGGTCGCCTCCGGCCAGTGCGGCAGTGCCTTTCAGCAGCTTTTCCCCCTTTCTAGGGCCTCCACGCTCGTCGAGTACGAACCCGATTGGTGCGAAGGCACAAAGCCTCTGCACTCGTTTCAGCTTGGCTTCCGAGGACCTGCGTAAGTTGGAATGCTCCACAGTTGAAGCAGAGTGAAGCTGCAGGAAAAGATAATAATCGTTGTGTAGGTTGGTTGCGACATGCCGGCTTCGCCCGGTGTATTCTGTCGGAACATCTTATGTTGCGCTACCTACCGAGATTCTTCGGTGGTTGCATGGCCTGATGGGCATGGGTTGCAGCTCCATCCGGGGAGGAAGTGCAGACACATGGGAGCATAGTTCAGGAGTATTCAGCTACGACGGATGTGTGGTGACTTGTACTTGAAGACTTGAAAGGTGTCAAGACTGATGTCTCTGGAGACGTGGAACATCTTGGTTGCAGGCCTCTCTTTTGCCTGCATGCTTGAGTGCGAGTTAATTTTTGGCATTCTCTGGCTTCAGGCATTGCGCTGTCATGCCGTTGTATCTACTGTGGCAACCGGCATGTTTGGAGTATCACCCATTTCACTGGCAAGATGACCTCTTGTAAGGAGCTTCGGACGCAGAGCACCTGAATTGAGCCCGCCGATTCGTTCTGCTGAACCGGGTTCAGCGCTGCTGGCATTATTCAAGCAATGCACAGAAAGCAGTGATGCTCTTTCCTGCTTGACAGAGCTGCAAGGCCCTCAGCTCATGCATGACGCCCTCTGCGTCCTGCCTAGACGAGCAGGCAAATTGCAGTGAAGCTGTGGCTTTTTGCCCGAGATTTTGCGTGCAGGTGCGTGAGTGGGTTCAGCGACAGTGCGGGCCTTACGTGGCGAATGCTCGATGTCTTGGTGTTTTTCCTTGTCCCAGGCTGGACATGCAACCGGCACACCAGTCCTGGAAGCAGACGGGCGGCAGCAATACTTTCGACGGGTCCGATGACAGCTTCATCCTGAATCCTTCCATAAAGCAAGGAATCAAGGCTGAGTGGGAGGGTGATGCGGTGCAAAACCACGACGGTACAGCACATCTTGTGAGTTGAAGCCAGCCCCCTGTTCGTTGCTGCACAAGTTCTGCTGCTGACCTAGCATAATGCCAGCATTTTTCTGTGGCGGTAAGTTGGATATAAACCTGCCGCAGCTTGGATTGCAAAGCGCGAACTCCCTGGTGCAACTTCCCGTCAAGCGGGAAAAGCCGGAGGCAGGTGCATGTTGCATTTTGTTTGTGTCTTGTTAGAAATGCAACAGCAAGGGATTCAAGAGTCTCCATTGGTTTGGACGATCTCACTCGCAGCCGATCTGGCAGTTTACAACCTGCACATGTCCTGCATCAGGACCTCACATTCACAAGAGTCGTGACGACTCCTTCACTTTTTCTGTTGGTTGGAACCTCAGTTGGCTGAGACTCTGTTTTTTTGTATTTGTTGTTGGCTGGGTGGGGGGGCGGGGGTGGCGGGGGCTTTGCGGGGAGCAGGGGTGCGTGGGGCAGGCGTGTGGGGGGGATGGAGTGTGCGCAGGAAAGAAAGAAAGAGCAAACGAACGACAGAAGGAAAGAAAGAAGCGGAGAAACCAGAAAGCAAGACGGAAAGGAGGAGAGAGAGGCAGAGAAAGATAGGCCGATGTTTCTGTTCAGGTTTGGGGGGATTCAAGCTCACCGCTCAAGACCTCATCGCAACTCCTTTGTCACTCAAGCAGACAGCGATTCACCAGTGTGCGCTCGCGCACGATTCCTTGGGGTTGCCGTTCTCCTTTGGCTGTGCTGAAGAAGAAAGATAAGCCGATGATGTAGCCAGCTGCGAAGGGAAAGGGGAGCACACATCCCCAGTGCAAGCAACCAGGCAAGAAAGCTAGGCCTTGCGAACGAAAGAAAGGAAGGAACGAAAGAAGGAAGCCACAGCGAAAGAACGAAAGGAAGAAGAGAGAAAAGCAAGTAATGCACGAAAGGAAGAAAGACAGACAGAAAAAGAAAGACAGAACGAAGAAGGAACTACTCAGCTAAGTAAAGACCTGACGAGAGAAATAACGAACCAAATACATAATGAAAGACAAACAGCAAGAACGAACGACAGAAAGAAAGAACTATCATGGTAGTCAAAGCAAAGCCCTCCAGCTTTGCAAGGCGTGATAAGAACACTCATAATTCCATCAGGAAGGATGATGAGAGCAGGACGGCTGCACATACTACCTATATCAACCCTTACAGCTTTAGCTTGTGTTTGTTTATGCTAAGAACAGAGTCGGTTCGGATTAAGCGAAATCGTATACACAGATGTAGTACATAATACAGTATGGTATAGTATGACAGCATAGCCTCATACAATTAAACATGATCTTATTGCTTTGGGCTGTATGGTAACATACTGGATTAGTCTTGAACGGTAGCATGTTTCCAGCTACAACACAAGGTCATGGTAAGTCACATGATGCAAATGTTATATGAGATTCCTTACATGATAACATGGTATATAAACTCATACCGGCTGCACACCCCGAACGATCATGAAGGCAGGAAGACTGTGAATTCCCTTCCCCCCAACCCCCCTCCAGAATTCTGGACGCACAACCTATTCACTGCCCCCACCTCTCTTCTTCTTCAAACACAAAAAGCGGCCAACAAAAAAGTGTCAAGAAGAATTCCCAACCGTAGTTGAACCATTACGGTGCGTGTGTATGTGTGCGAGCATGCGTGCGTGTGTGCGCGGGTTGTAACAGATCGTTGAGAGCTTGGATTTGCTTTTTCCCTACCCTCTCTCTTATCCACGTCGTTCTTCGCTGGGAGCACTTGGATGAACTGAGACTGTCATCATTGAGACTGTGGTTGGGAGTGGCCTCTGTGCATTTCTGATTTTGGGGGCTCCTCATTTTTTCGGCCCCCATGTTTTTTTTGACCCCCATCATACCTGAGATTACTTTTTTGCCCCCCGGCGTGGTCCTGGCCAACAGCGTGATTTTTCCAGCCCCCCGATATTGTCTTCTTGCCCCCCTCAGCACGTTTTCCGACCGCCGAAATTACTTTTTCCCAGGGGCCGGAAAACATAATGTCAGGTAATTGTGTTGGCCCCACCGGCTCGGCGGCTCAGGGAGGGGGGGGAGGTGTAGACAGGATGGGGGTGGGGCTTCCTGCCCTTCGCGGCCCTTCGCGGGCTTCCTGCGCTCCGTGGGCTCCCTGCTCTTGCGGGCTCCCTGCCCTTCGCGGGCTCTTTGCCCTTTGCGGTTCTTCGCCCTTCACGGGCTGGTCGTGGTCGAGGTCGGTGATTTATTGGGGTTTCACTTTCGTGGCGATGTACCCAGAAGCATGAAACCCTAGACCCTAAGCCCTGAACCCTCCTACAGCCTAAACCCTCAAAGCCCCAAACCGTCGTCGTCGTGGTCGTCGTCGTGGTCGTGGTCGTCGTCGTTGTCGTAGTCCTTGCCGAAGTCGTAGTCGTAGCAGTAGTAGCAGTCGTCGTCGCATAGTAGTAGTGCCGGTAGGGCTCTACCAATATGTGGTATAGGGGTCGGAAAAGTAACCTCAGGGGGCTCCAAAAGCAACATGGGGGGTCAGAAAAGTAGCATGGGGGGGTCAAAGAAATAATCCGGGGTCGGAAAAATAACATTTGGGGTCCAAAAAATAATGTACCCGGATTCTGGGCTTTGCATGTCTGGGGATCGACTTCGATTCTTGGCCTCCTTTCAAGCAGCGTGGTTTGGGTATTCACTCCGGCACCCCACGCCCAATGCTTGATGAGACATCTTTCCGAACATTTTCGAGATCGCCGCCTCTTCACTCGTATCTGCACGTGTTGTCTTGCAGTCTTGCATTGATTTTATTCCTCGTCCTTGTTTAGGACAGCTGGACTTCGTCGCTACTCCCGTAGCACCAACAGTTAGTGGACCGGTTTGAATTCACTGCAATCTGCATTGAAACGGTTCGATCTTGCAGCTTCTTTGAGCTTTTTCGGACTCTTTGTCGTCTGTCCTGTTGTCCGTCGTTTCCCAACCACCGATTTGTTGCCGGCCATGTTTGAGGTTGACCTCACACACACTTGCACGACTCCGTTGGGTAGTGCTGTCAACAAACCCTTGAAGTTTCCACTCGGGATTTCAGAGAGGTCGAGCATGAGAAGTGGTAGCAGGGTCCACAGTTCAACTCTGCTCAACATGGGGCGCAGCATGGTGGGGAATACAGTATAATCAAGATAGCTTTCCCTTCTTGGAAGCCACTGATAACAATCTGCCACTTGATGCGACTTGTTTTGCTTTCATTGTATCAGCCGTGCTCGTCAGTCGAAGCCATAGTATTATCGTGTACGGTTCACGAGGCTGCGGTGGCCATCATGTGCACCGTCGCCGGCTGTGTCGTGGTTCTTCTACCGTTCCTCCACAGAAGCAGACGGCTCAGCATGTATCGATTGCATGAGTACTTCGCGACGGAGTTCTGGCTTGTGATTTGTCTCACGACGTTCCAAACATTTGCGCCGTGGGGGGTGCAGGACACGACAGCGATGACGAGTCGCTGGCAACATCCAGGTCTGTAACTCTTGCAACTGCGGGTGTGGGGAGCAGATACGGCAAGGCAGGAGGTCCTCATGAGTTGCTTCTTGGTGCTGCGCAGGCCGTACTCACGGAAGGACTACAACTACAAGGATCCCTACAACCACAAGGATCCCGAGCTTGGGCTCGGATACGAGAACTTACTGGCTTCACCCGGTGGCTCCTTTGCATCTTCCTATTCAGGCGCGTTGGAGCATTGCACAAGTGCAGCAAGTTGAGCCCACAGCCGACCAACAAATACCACGACTATCGAGTACTCAGTACTTCTCGGCTCCCTGTCCTCAACAGTGTCCTGACAAGTCTACTGAGCCTAATGGCATAATGTTGCTCTTTTGCAGGTCAGCGGATTGTCCTGGCAACACCACCTGGTGTAGCATCCCCTGGCGTGACATCGCCTGCTGTCACATCGCCTGGTTTCGTCCGCCCCTCGGGGATTGAACTTTATAATGCTTAGCAAAGCAAGAAGTGGAGTGTTTCGTTGCGTGAAAAAGTCAACCTGTACGGACTTGAGGCTCATTCAGTGTACACTCACGTCAATCGCGTGTCTTAAGCGCAGCTGAGCCTGGCCCTTTGAACGGAGCAGGGCAGCACAGTTAAGTGCCATCGTTCTCACCTTCGGCTCTCAGGTCGGAAAGCTTCCGGGAAACGCTCCTGAAATCTGGGAGCCAGCTTGGAAGTCTGGTAAAAGACAAGCAGAAACATACCGTGGACTATACTTTATCATATGGTCTTATGTTCCATGCGGCACGAGCAGCATGTGCAGCACAATTCACTGACACTTAAGTGCGTCGGTGCAAATGCAGAAAAAAGCCCTCAACCTGTCGCAAGAGTGGAGCAGGCGCAGTAGCGATTTGGAGAGCTGCGTACTGCGATTGCTGCAATAGCCCAATCCGAACAGGACTGGCGGGAATGTGTGCTGGATGCCTCCGAGGCTTGGTGTTTTAGCCATAAGCCTCGGTGGCTCGGAAGTTGGAAGGTGAAGGTTTGGTGCAGCCTTAGACATGGGCACTGTTGGTAACCGAATCGAAGCCACGAAGTTTACCTTGTATGCAGCCATGACTTCGCAGTGCTGTAGTGCTGGCCTGTGCAATCTCCGCATGCAAGCATCACGGCGAGCTGATCTGATCCTACCTTTGCTTGCGTCCTTTGCTGATTCTGTGAGGCCTTACGTTTCGAGCCTATGCACCACAAGGAGACTTTCGCCTGTGAGGTCACCGTTATGAAGAAGTATAGATCCTGCAAAGGCCATGCTTCGTCGCGGCTTTGCCCTAGCACGCATGAAGCGCTGGGTTCAAAGCTCGGACTCCCTTGTGCATAAAGTTCTGAAGCACAAAATTCCCATGCAGGGACCTGCCGCCAAAGATCTGGAGCAAGCCGTGAGTGCGGACCCTGAAGACAAGAAGGCGCACTTGATGCCGATGCTGGCACGTATTTCTGCTGCCGTTAGCACTGGGCTGTCCCCATCTAGCCAGATTTTTTCCCTCCTGAAGACAGAAGGAGGGTTTTGGGGTTTGCTTGCCGTGTCTTTTTCGGCCGCTTCGCGTGCTTTTTGGGGAGAAGAGGGCCCAGATTTTGACGAGCGTGACGATGCTGCCCTCGGCTGGGGGGTGGTGGGACGATGACGGCGAATTGGGGTGACCACCCCCGGTCTAGGAGTACAACAGCACTTATTTGCTGTTGCCAGCTGCTATCTCCTCGAAATCTCCAGCTTTCGTCTTCGCTTCAGTGCTGAAGTTTTCAAGCGTGCCTGGCATGTTTCAGTTCTGGTTCGTTCTTTCCCGGCACACACGGACATAGAGTTTTTGCCAACTGAAGGGCCATGATATGCTCGCGGAAACGAGGCAAATGCAGAGTTGCAGATGGTACGTCGAATGCTGACAGAGCAGGCAAAGGCCAGGCAGTTGAAGATGCTGTTCCGTCAGGCTGTTCCCCACTATGATTTGCCAATGTTTGCTTGCTTCAGGACGCCCGTGCTCACGCAAAATGTGTGATATGTGACAGCACACGGGCTCCATCAATGCCGACGAGAAAGCAGGAGCCTTTGTGCGGTGAATTGTTCGAGTTTTCAGCAAGGCGACTCTCAGAGTTACTTGTTCAGTCTTGCTCTAATGACGCTTGCTTCGCATTGCTTCGCGGTGTCTCACTTACAAGACTACGGGTCTATGTTGAACAGAGAGCAGAGCGGCACTAGGCATGAGATGGCAGCAGGCTTTCGAGGGACATACATCAGTGTAGAAGCAGACGACACATGGACTCTGCTCATCAGGTCAGATGGTCTTTACTCTTATTTCATGTCCAACCTGTCGATCGGGCAATTCAAGAGGCTTCTCTATGCTGAGGCTTGTGGTCAAAGTGCTCCAGGCCAAGCCGCTCAAACCCATCAAGCCGGCGAAGGACAAGCGTCGTGTTGGATGCTCTTTTGCGTTGCTGGCACCTAAGAGCACGCGGCAAGAGGAAGCCGACATGCCGGTCTGCGCGACGGAGGCTGCATGATTAATATCCTTCTCCGTCCTGTGCTTGCAGCCCGGGCACTTCTGCACCTAGATTCTCCAGGCAGTCTTCTTGCGGAGTGTCAGAGGGTTGACACCGTTCACTTAACCCAAGACCGGTGAATCTGATCAACCACGGGATACCCGAAACAGGGCGGAGAACTCCAACTAAACACCACTACTGTACCAGCGGCTCCGATTAGCCACATACCGCTAAGGTGACACGACGGCGACGGCGACGACATGACGATCACGAAGGTGACGACGACGACCACCAGCACCAGAAGCAGTACTGCTACTAAATACGGCTTCGGCGACTGTAATTGCCGTTGCTATGGCTTCTAGTCAGAGCAAGCACTAGCAGGCATCAGGGATGCCCCCTTTCACCATGCCTGTTCCTCGTTGTCCACGGCATGATCATGCACCACATGGACGGGGAACTCACAGCAAACGGACGGTTCCTGCCTTGACTTACAGCTCAACCTGAAGGAGTGCGCTCTTCTTCGTTCACCCACCCCGCAGAACGCCATCAAATTCCAAGACGGCACCCCGCTCACCATCGAGTCGCATGCCAAACATCTAGGTGCAACACTCAGCAGCAATGGCTCCACAGGACTGGCAAAGGATGAGAGCACTTCACGTGCTACCGATTTGGGCTTATTTCGGCGCAGCACCGACCTCACACTGAAATGGAAGCTGCTTATTTATCACGAGATCTTCGCTTAGCGTTTGTGACCTGGAGCTGGAATCCGGCAGATTTTTCTTCCAGCGACTACCGCCGTCTGGAAGCTTCCCACCCGCTTGCGGAAAATCTTGCACCTCAAAAGCATCGATTTCACCGAAATTCTCGAACCCACAGCACGCAACTACGCGAACCAGAGCCCGCTTCCTCACAGAACAGCCTCCTCTCACACACAACATCCACAAAGGACAGCTGAATCTGTTCGGTCACATTCTTCGATCCTATCCTTTTAAAGTCCACGACCCCGCCTCCCTTTCTCATGCCTCACGCGTAACTACAGACTCACAGACTAGCTGTAGACTGCCACTTATGGAGCCGCTCAGGGAAGCAGGCAGTGCAAGGCCCTCTTCATAGCTAGCTCGCTTCAGGTTTACTCACAGAGGAGTGCTTGGAGTCGTGCTGCATGTGAGCTGCAGAGGGTTTCTAAGTCCTGCTATGCCACTGAGCTGCAACATCTGCAACTACAGCATTGTCATCAAGACATACACGTTGCCATCCGATGATAGCGAAAGAGCCGAAAGATGCTACTATTGCAAGAATAACGATGATGACGACGCTTCCAACTACTGTTGTCAATGCCACATTTCAGGCCACGTGCTCAGAGAATGTCAGCGCGTCTTTTGCAATCGTGTGGCTACTGCTTGTGTTCGGCAGGTTTTGTGGTCCAGGGAACTGCTGCTTGATGGGCCACCTTGGTACAGCCACAGAAGTAGCTTTTGCTGCATGCAAGAAACAAGTACAGCTGCTGAAACTGATGTTCAACAATGATTGCACATCTAATTTTGATTCATGGAAATTCAATGCTCTTTGGATAGTTATTCTGGTGCCGAAATAAGAAGCCAGGTCGCAGCAAAAGATGGCTGAACACGTAATTGAAAGCAAAAAGTATGTCTCGAAGAAGAAAGCTTTGGCGGAACATGTGAGTTGGTTGGATTTTTGAGTCTTGGTTCGGTAGTTTCAGTGCATTTCATGCGGCTGAGTGGCCTGCTGAGCTTAGTGGAGATTGCCTAGGCTGGTGCGGGTTTGCTGCTTGGGTCAGACCGATTCGGGCTTTGCAGCAGCTTCGACCTTTCTAGCGACAAGTATTGTCAGAGACTGGTTCACTTCATCTTCATTGATGGGGTCGTGTTTGCGGGCAGTGCCGTGCTGCTGTCTTCGACGTGTCACTCGTGCAGGAGGCAGGCGATGTCCCGGCACCTCCGTGCCAAGGACTGACAAACTCATGGCTCAGGCTGTGGTGAAGCCGTTCCATGCCAACGTGTCCGCAAAGGTCCTTCTTCGGCATCAGCGCCGTCGGCTCGGACATACGTTCCACGCAGCGTGCGCGCGCCCGGCCCGTTCGTTCTCGGGTGCGCCCGAGTGCTGCAGTGCCATCGCTCAGAGCATTGCAGTGCCTAGCAATGGCAGGAATGCGAGGACGGCACCCTGCGGAGGCTGACACAGCGATCGTAGCTTGGATTCGCTAGCAGCCCAGCCGAGGTAGGCTCCGACCATGGGCAAGGCATGGGAAGCCACAATGGTCCAGACTCTCGGCTCGCAGGGCCATGTGTGCTCCGTGCAGGTGCGAAGAAGCCAATGAGTTTCTATCAGTTTGAGGCAGGCTTATCGCTGTTTGCTGTGTGTATTGCAGAATGCCACAGTGTCGTCGCAGTCGATTAAAATTACTGCCAGGCACAATGGGCTCGTAGCCGGCCTTGGTCTTATCTGGCCTCGCTGTGCACCCAAGATCACACATTGACAGCCCCATGCTGATTCATCCAGTTCGATTGAATTCCAAAATTCATGCATGCAACAACTCATCGCATGATTCAGATGCCGCGATTTTCTGCGATGCAGTGGCAGTGATGGAAGTGCTAGCTGATGGCAGAACCCAGACCGGCAGGGTCCAGAGATTGCGGTTCCTTGATTTGTGCAGCGACATGCTGCCCCTCTGATACTCGTGCTATGCCTTGCATTGCCTTGCTCTCACTTCGTGTGGCCTTTGACTCCGTGCATGGCGGCACAGATGCCGATTTGATCCCTTGTCCGTCACAATCATAGCCTTGTCTGCAGTCGCTGCGTGCGCGTGGGTCCTTACCTCTAAACTGGCTGGGTGGTTTCTGGTTGGTCCCCTTGCCGTGGTTGGTTGGGAGGCTTAGCACACGCTCCTCGTCCTGCTGCTGCTGCTGCTGCTGCTGCTGCTGCTGCTGCTGCTGCAGTTTATCAAACTTGACGGAGTCTGCTGCAGCGTCGTCAACAGCCTCACTGTCCCCATTTGAGTGGGACTGAGGATCGACATTGCAACTTGCAATGACGAGCCTCTTCACATCTCTTCATCAA